AGAGAGAGAGAGAGAGAGAGAGAGAGAGAGAGAGAGAGAGAGAAGCGATTACCAGAGTTTTGTTCCCGTTCTTGCTGAGAGGGCCCCGGAAAACTCCCTTGATGTTGCGAAAGTGTCCGTTGCTGAGGTGCGTGGAGCTGATGACAATGTAGTAACACTCCATGGGGCAGCCGCCGCCTCCTCCACCGCAGTCACGGCTTCCATGCACCCCGAGCCCGCAGCCGCAGCGCGCCGGAGCCCGGAGAGGGCAAGCTAGGGACCCGCCGGGAGGGCGAACCTCCGCCTCTCTCGCACACCCTCCGGAGACAGGCTCACTACACCCCTCTGCCGCGCGCGCCCAGGCTCCTCCGCCTCCGCATGCTCGCTGCGCTCAGTCTCCCAGTCTCTGTCTTTCCTAATACGCCTTGGGGCGAGGAGCTTGCGGGAGGATCCCGGGCTGGGAGGGGCCGACCAGACAGGACAGAGCTAAGCCGCAGTCAGCGCTGGAGCGATCGAGCGCAGCCGGGCAGCGGGAGCCGCCCGAGCGGCAGCGGCAGCGGCAGCGGCGGCAGCAGCATTCCCCACGCCCTGCGTCCGCACTCGGAGTTGCCGCTGCTGGCAAGCATGAGTATTATTATAGTGAGCGGCGTTGCCGGTCCATTGCACTGAGCCAATGGCAGGGAGCCACTGGGCTGATACTGAGAGCTGTCGGAGGAGTACATCTGTCACCCGCTGCTCCCCCCCGCCCTCCCCCGCCGCCGCCTGGACCCGCGTCCGAGCCGGTCCCGGTGCGAGTGGGGAAGCGCAGCAAGCCGGACACCCTCGGTGCAGCGCTCGGCCGCACAGGGCCAGGGACGCGACGTCCACTGCGGGCGGGCGACAGAGCGGCCCGTGACCGAGAAGTGGGAGACTCCTATAAGGTGGGGGCGGAGGGGGGGGTGAAAAGACGGCGATTTCTGGCCTGGTAGTCGGGGATGGGGGAGGGATCGAGGGGAGATAAATAAATTAATAATTCAATACCAAGCCAAACGCTCCTAACTGCGGCGTTTTGAGGCAGGTGCCAGCAGCGGCTTCTCTCTGGAGATAGTTGCTGCCCACTGGATGTGGCTGATTTGACTTGATTTGTTTTTAATGTATTTCGGTATGGAGGCTGGAGGCTTTTCAAAATCTTAGGGAAGGGAAAGAAAATGTCCCCCCAGCCACCACCATCTCTCATTTGTAGAGAAAATAAGTGCATGGTTGGGGGAAGGGGAGTTGTGGCGATGCGAGTGGTAGTGGAAAACGGTAAAAACAGGGACTCCTCCTGGTTTGTGTTCCACGACTTTGCGTTCCCCTCACCCATCTCCCCTGAGAACCTCAGTTCTTATTAAATTGCCAAAGCTGAACAGAAAGGGATGCTTTGCAGAAAAGCTACTGCTAGGAGCTTGCTTTGCATTTCTCCACTGTGCTTTTCCTGCTACTGGGTAGTAGTGAACAAAAGCGTTTGCCCTAGAAGCGACCTGAATGGAAAAATCTACAAAGGAACTAATGGGTTTGTTACGGAAAGTAGGGAATGGGGTCTGCGGTGTTCCCTGAAGACTAAGGATGGGTGGTTTTTAAGGGGCCAGGGCAGCCATGGCCCTGAGCACCCTCCCTCTCCGTCTGTTGATTCTTTGTGTAAGTTTAGCTCTTCTTAGGTGGTGGGGTGAGAGCATCCCATCAGGTATATGTACGACTCATTAGTCTGCACTTAAAAAGATCGATCACAGGCAGTGGGAGTCTGGGAGACAGTGCCTTCAATGGTTTTGCTGAAGGCTTTATTTTCCTCTTGCCTTGAATGGCTTAATTGGTTAAAGCAGATTCCAGACATTCTGATGCTCCTGTGTCAGAACAAACTGCACTTTGATATAATCAGTGTTTATCTGGTTTATTTGAAGGTCAAGATATCAAGACATCCCATTCTGGATGTCCCATATATAGGATTTCAAATAGCAGTGAGTCTGCAAACCATAATATAGCCCTCAAATAAAACTGCCAGGTTGATTTCACTCTTTGAAATAGGAAAAGGCGAGCAAAGGGAGAAAAAAAGTATTTATAAGAAAAGCAGCAGTCATGTGAGTAAATTATAGAAGTAGAAGGGGGGAGGTTAGATTCATTTAAGGGGAATGTTCCATGTGCTTTGCTTCAGTTCAAATAAAGAAAAAAAGTTGATGTGGATTGATCAAAGCTCATTATGAAATGTCAGAGTTATTTAGAGGTACTTGGCTAAATTTCTCAAATATCCACTTGGGGGAGTCTGGTAGTCTTGGGAGAAATAGAGAGGAAAAATTTACTGAACTTTTATGCTATGTGGAATAGAGCGCCTTACAATTTGTTAAAATTCAATCAAGTATGGAAACAACCTTATTAGAAAATGTTTAAGTAATCTCCACTAAATACTGTATGATGATTAAAATGTATTTTGTGTTCCTATCATTACATTTATTTTTCTATTTATATTGTGAGGATACAGGCATTCTCTAGACACATCACTTTGGGAAGAACTAATGACCTGTATGATTCCCATTATGTCTTTTGAAGTTTAGGAGAGTTGCAGTTATTAGACGAGAGATAAAATCTTTATTACTAATGAGTCAAACCAAAGAATAGCCAAAGGCAATGGAAAATGCTCCATACATGAAAGAATCAGATAATGTGGTGGGGAGTTTTGCTTTCTAAGCTAGGTTTTTGCAATGTTTGTTTCTCCAAATGTTTCACAAAATATTCTATTCAGCAATAAAAATCAATTTCCATTTCATGAAACAGGAGCCATAGTTGGCTCAAACTGTCCCATAATACAGAATATTATTTATATAGGATGCCATATAGTATTATATGCCATATACATGACATATGATATAACTATATCATATGTGTTATACACAATAGATATCATAAAGTGAGCCAATGAAATATATTAATAGCCTCTGAAAATAATCACTTTACTGTCGGAATACTCTACCTTTGCCAATTGACATATTTGATGATATCATAGTGTAACTTTTGGCTATCACATTTAAACACATATAAAAATGGCAGCAGATATCATAGGTTGGCTGCCAATATATAATGAAAGCTAATGACAAAAGTCATTTTTTCATTAAATATATCCTAATTGTTTATGCAAGAAGTAGTTTATAACAAAATAAATGAGTGTGATCAACAAGATTCATTTCTTACACCTTGAGATTTCTATGAATAGAAATCTTTGAGACTAGAGTGCTCAGTTCCTTCTTTTACTCTTATCCCAACCAAGTAACCACATAGCTAATGGTCATTCAATTTAAGCTGCTAATCATGCTGCATGGTACTCATTTGTGTCATTACCAATAAGCTCTGTTCCCTATAAAACTTTTATCATATCAACCGTAATGTTCAGGAGAACAATGAGTCACCACCATGTGGAATCTGATTTCTAACTATAATAAACAACTACTATAGATATGTGGAATCTGATTTCTAACTATAATAAACAACTACTATATATATCTATATCTATCTTTATATATAGATATATAATGGAATTCTTAAAGCAAAACATGATAGAACTGGTTCATTTGAATGATGCGGACATTTAAAAGACAAGTAGAAAATCAGGACTTCTCCATCAGAGAAGCAGCATACATTTTTGTGGCAATAAATTTAAATTAGTAAATAGTGATAAAATAATATGCCCTCCCATCTTTCTGCTCCACATTTTCCCTTTTGTCATGTTGCAAAGAATAAGTACATAAATAAAAGAACCTTAAATGTTTCTGTTTTGTTTGAGTATCTTTGATATCACAGTCTATTCCCATTATTTAAAAACAATTTTTATTTTTATTACAAGTAACCATTTTGACATGTATTATTTCTATGAAACTGTCACCTAATTTTAGAAAATATTTTCCTCTAAGTAATTTAGAGAATTTCTAATTCCTAATGTAAGCATTCAGAGTCAATATTTCTTAAACACATTTTAAAATATTTATATTAGGTAACTTCATTTTGATTGTAAATTTTTCAGCTAAAATAGAATGAATGATGAATGATTTAAATATAAAAGTTTAAGTGGGTGAGTTCAACCTAAAAAAAAATTACAGGTCACTTTTTGCTACCACTATATGGCAGTTTTGTCCTTTCTACAAACGTAATTCTCTTTCAGTTATCACCTTCCTACACTGCTACTCAAATCTAGATCACCTACTCTGCTCTTGTACTCATTTCCCTCATTTCCTGCTCCTCATCTTGATTTGCTTAAAACCCATTGGGGCACCAGCTTTCAGCTCAGTAACTGAGCAGTGTTCAGATCAGCTCCTGACTCATATAGGATTGGGGATGGTATTGTTGCTGTAATATCTAAAATCTAGAACCTATCTTCATTTCTAGTCCAATTCCTTCATCCTGACTATACTCCATTCCTTTTGTCCAGAGGAAAGTAAATCTTTCCTGAGTTTCCCTAGTGCTACTTGAGACCATATTTTGATCCCTCTGCATGCTTGCACTTTCTGCTTCCTGTCATGGAAATCTTTGAAGGATTTCACTCATTCTGTCTAGAAAATGCCCCATAACTAACGTGAATGATCTATCTCTTTTAGGCTATTGAATTTGTTAGTATATAGATGTTCATAATAGTCTCTATCTGTTGATATTCTGAAGCATCTGTTGTGATTTCTCTGCTTTCATCTTTTTTACTCTCTTTATTTGAGATTTCTCCCTTATTTTCTTGGTAAGCCTTGCTGGATCTTGTCTATTTTTTCAAAGAACCAGTTTTTGATTTCTTTGAAAAAGAACTGTCTTTTAAGTTCTATTTTATTTAATTCTGTTTTGGTTTTTATTATCCCTGTTCTTTTACTTGCTTACACAAATTGGATTCACTTCTAGGTTCCAGCAGCCTAACCTTATCTGAGTTTCTGTGAAAGAAATTTCTGTACTTATGTCATCCTGAAAAAAGAAAAGGCATATTGCAGTGTTTTCCAAATGTGTCTATGGGATAATTAGTGGTTGCAGAGTAGGTCATTATAATTTAAGACTTTCCTTTTCATTAAAATAATAATGTTAATATAAATCTTTTTTGATCATTTCTAAAACCGCATAATACTGTGAAGATATTGGCAGCCACAGCACCACAAGTTCAGTTCCTGGCCAGGTAGTTACATGCATGGTGCACCAGACTGCTCCTGTCTCACCGCCTGCTTCCTGCAACAGTGGATTTTATTGGAGATGCCTGTTCTGCTCCCTTCTCTGTCTCTGGTGAATCCTCTCATACCCTCCCCCACCTCTGGCCTATACCTCAGCTCTTGTATTCATATATGTGTAAAATAATTGTTAAAAAATAGCACATAATGATTTATAACTAAGTTCCGACATTAACATCTCTTTTTGTTTGCATTCATGCTTGTGACAACATTGGTACCAAATATTACTGATTTTATTATTTTGAGCTAATTTGAGGAAACTAGAAATTCAATAAAA